CTGGAGCACACCCCCCCTTTTGTGTCTTCCAGGTGATCCACTGGCGCGCTTTCCATGTCCACCCCACGTCGGGGGGCCGCATGGGTGACTCGAACGAGCCCGAGCTTTTCATGCAAGCGTTCTATAAGCCGATCGTCCGATGGCGAAGCGAGATGTCGACCATCACTGGCCCTCTCTTCCGTGTCCAGTGCCCGATCACCGACCAGGAGCAGGATGTGGGCATGGGGGGGTTCATAGACGATCTGATCCAGGTTTTTATCGTCCCCGAGGGTAGCACAGAGAACGCCTTGCTGCTAGATTGCGTCGACAACACGGTTCTTAACAGGGAGCTCGAGCTAGGGGGCTTCGCCCAGAACATTAGCAAACAAGACACGCTAGTACGTCTGCGGGCCCCCCAAGCTACTCGATCAGCTGAAAGACAACTCAGCGGGCGCCCCGTCACGGACCTCATTCATTTAGGTGGCTACATAAACGTGAACGGCTCCAACACTAAGGAGATCACTGAGAGGGTCAAGGCTGGCAACATCGGCTGGAGCTCGCTGGGGCAATATTGGTTCTCATCGGGGCCCTACCGTGCGAAACGAATGACGTTCTTAGCCAACGTGGCGGGGCGCATCTGGAGTGGCCTCGAATCGTACGTCCTTCGCCCCAGTGAAACAAAACGACTCGATCGCAGCATTGCCAAAAAGTTGCGAGCCATGCTCCGCGGGCAGGCCCATTCGGTCGACTCGGCAGGACGTCACCATTCCTTCACCACGCGGCAGGTGCTTGAACAGTGGTCCGTCCCTCCCACGGCGCTGGAGCTGCTGATCCGTCGCCTGGGCTGGTGGCAGAGCATCGCGGCAGAGCCAGAGCACCACTCCCAGTTCCTAGCAGCAGTATTCGGGCAATGCTTGTTTGAGATACGCCTGGGCGACCAGGCGCCTCCCTCGCCACTTTCCTCCGACGGCCGCGTGAACACGGCCGAGAATGTACACCCGTGGGCCAGGCAGTTCGCGTCAGACATGCAATGTGTTCTCTCTCACCCTGTTGGCGGAGATCTCCTAGAAGTTTGGCCCCCACCGATTGTACGATCCCTCTTCGAGGACTCAGCTGCGAACGAGCGGTTCCGCATGTGCGACATGACCGTCTTTCGGGCTACGTATCTGGCACAAGAGTGGGCACCCCCCAGTGGCACACCAGTGGCCGAGCACATGCATGACATGACCCTCCTTAGCGATGACTCGGACGAGGATGAGCTTATGTTCGTGTGCGGCCTCGAGGGCTGCCCCAAGAAGTTCCCCACGATGCACAGCCTTATCGCACATCAGGTACACGCACAGGCACCTGGTCACGGCTGCCCTACTATCATATCTACTATCACACTGGACAACAAATGCTTAGTCTGCGACACGATCTTCAATAACACGGAGCACACCATCAGGCACCATCGTCGTTCCTGGCTCCAGGGTCGTTGTATTCCCGAACAAACACGGCGCGAATACAAATGGCAGCCTACCCGAGTGCGCTCATGCCCATTATTTGCACAATCGTCCTCGGCATGTTGTCAGCATGAGTTTAACGATCCCGTCGATCTTCGAGAGCACGTACTTTCGCACATCCCACCGTCACCATTTGGGCTCTGGTCTCGTGCCAGCCTCCCCTCGCCTCGCCCGCGCGCTCCAGCGAGTGCGCCTGGCGCGCCCCCTGAGGCGTCGAGCGCGGCGCCGAGCGGAGGCGGCGCCAGCAAGTGGGTTGCCGAGGACACCACCAGCAACAGGCACAAGCTCCAGGCGGCCTCGCTGAGGCTACCGACGAGTGCACCGCCACCGCCGCCAGCGCATCCGACGCCGCGGCCCGCCAGAAGACCTGCTCACCCGACCCCGCCCGCGGCAGCCTCGACCGCCCCGGCCACACCATCGGCTACACGAATCTTGACAGCTACACCCACCACAGCAGCGCCGATTGCACGGCGCCATCCTGGACGAGCCACCTCTACAGCCCCGCCTAGCAGCGATGGCGGACCAGAAACCACGAGCGTCGTGGCGCCTGCCGCGATCCTCGGCTCCGTCTGGGAATGGTGGAACAGAGCAGAGCAGCCGCGAGCAGTACGCCAGCGGACAGGGGACGAGGGAGCAGCGGCCGCGGGAGAGGGCATGACAGTGGACGAGGGCACGGGCGCGGCAGCAGCCGAGGGGCAAGGACCTCTACGCCGACGCCGAGGAGGACGCCGCCGTCGCGGGACCCACAGCGACAAGAAGTGGTCCAGCAAGGACGGCAACCTGCTCGAGCTGCTCATGGTGATGGCGAAGTTGCCGTTGCAGACGACGCAGCGCACACGAGCGACCATGGCGAGCAGCATGGACACCATCCAGCTCCCCATCACCCACAGGGTGGTGATCGCGATCGGGGACGAGCTGGACCTCTACAAGAACGAGCTGGACACGCTGAGGAAGGGCGACGCCGAGACCAAGAAGAAGTTGCACACCATCGGCCCCCCCACCGCGGGGCTCGCAGTCGCCATGATAGAGAGCCTAGCGCAGTGCGACATCGGCGGAGCCATGAAGACGTCCCTCACCGACTTCCTCAACAGCGTCCAGCCCCAGAACGACGAGCAGGCCACGACCACCAAGAGCGACCTCGAGGACGCGATCGCCTTCCTCCGTCTGGAGGCCTGTCACGACAAAGAACACATCAAACTTCAAATATCGATGAATCAGTGGCAGATGAGATCCACCATCTTGCAGGCTTTCAGAGCAGAGGGACTAGCCCGCGTGATGACGGGAGTCGCACCTCCTGGCTGGCTCGAAGAAGAACTGGGCACGTGGGTGGACACGCTGGCGAGCAAGGGGGGCTGAGTCCTAGGCCAATCGTCTTCCAGCGCAGCAGCTCCTCCCTCCCAGCCTCTAGTCACGAATGCACGGTCCATGATGGCAGCAGCGTGCGCGGACATCCCAAGTTCCCGTTCGCCCTACGCCCTGCCAGCCGCGCCTGCCAAGCCCCAGCCAGCTCCTCCTCTCGCCCTTTCGCGGCCCACCCTGTACAGCCACAGGAAAAAGGATGTCACGGAGTCTGCGCTGGAACCCTGTTCTTGAGCCCTCTTGAGCCACCCGAGCCTGTCGACGACTACGCCGCCGACGAAGACGCCGCTAGAGAGTTAGGCAACTTTAGCTAAAAAGCGGTTGCCCTGATCAGGATGCCAGAGTGCACGCAGGTTTGCCGCTCGTTGAGCCCCCTGCACGGCGCGCCCAGCCTGGGCGAGTATAGGGCCACACGCCCTGCGACGGGAAATTTTACTATCTTCTACCCGACGCACTGTCACGTTCCAGACAGCACTGCGTGGTTTTGTTTTCCCCAAGGTCGATGGATGGAAAAAATCATCATCATCATCAGCAGCATCATCATCGTCGTTGTCATCGTCATCATCATCATCATCATCATCATCATCAGCATCATCATCATCAGTATAATCATCATCAGCATCATCATCATCAGCATCATCGTCGTCGTCGGCGTCGTCGTCGTCGGCGTCGTCGTCGTCGGCGTCGTCGTCGTCGCCACCATCATCTTCCTCATCGTCATCATCTGCAGCATCATCATAAACAACAGCATCATAACCAGCAGCATCAGCATAAGCATCATCACCATTAACAACATCACTATCACCATTACCTTGACCATCATCAGCATCACCAACACCACCACCACCACCACCACCAGCACCATCATCATCATCATCATCATCATCATCATCATCATCAGCATCATCGTCATCAACATCGTCGTCGTCAACAAGACCGCCACATGCATCGTCATCAGTATGGCCGACTTGGAACAGCATCATCAACATCACCATCATCCTCGTAATCGTTATCGTCGTCACAGTTGCCATAGTGATAGCCATCCCCATCATCCCCACGATCGTCGCGATCAACATCGTCAGCAGCATCACCATCATGATCAGCCCACCCTCGGCGGCATGAGCATCATCGTCGTCGTAAAAATCAGCACGGTCGTCGCCAAAATACTAATCATCGTCATCACCATCATCATCATCATCATCATCATCATCATCATCATCATTATCATCATCGTCGTCGCCATCATCATCATCATCATCATCATCATCAGCATCAGCATCAGCATCAGCATCATCATCATCATCATCACCATCATCATCAGTATCGTCATCATCATCACCATCATCATCAGCAGCATCAGCATCAGAAGCATCATCGCCATCCCCATCATTATCATCATCATTATTTACCAGCAGCAGCATCATAATCAACATCACCATCCTCAAAATCATCGTCAACATAATCATCATTCTCAGCATCATCATCATCAGCAGCAGCACCATCGTCATCATCAGCAGCATCATCATAATCATCATCTCCATAATCCTCATCCTCATCCGAATCACCATTGTCATCAATAGCATCAGTACCATCATCATCCTACTCCTCGTATCCCTTCCCTCCCCCTTCCCCCGCTCCTCCGCATCGCCATACTCCTCATCAACCCTCTCCCTCCTCTCCTCCTCCCGTCCATACTCCATCAGTGTCCTTATCCACACACCTCATCCGTGCATTCCGTGAATGCATGGTAAGCACGCCATGCGAGTTTCCCAATGCTCCAACTCATCCCCGACTCAGTTTAACACAGACGAGGAGCAAGAGAGAGCGAGATTGAAGCTGCCAGAGCGGCCTCATGACACTCGCACCAGCTGCGTAGGATTCCACGAGTGCCTTGTCCAGGCGCAGACTGCCTTTGTCGACGATCTGGTCCGCCAGCCACAGCTTGCAGCTTATGGGCATCTGACTATACTGTCCATGTGACAGAAACAGAATCCTACGAAACCTTTCAAGTCCACCGCCTGGCTACACCAGTGAATGACCAGATGTCGGTCCCACATTGAAGGACAACGGGCGTCATGATGACACGCAAGACAGAGGCATCCTCGTCAGCATCAAAGATTGCACGCCGTGCAATCTATGATGCACAAAATCCTCTCGTTACTACCGCAGCAAAAAATTGTAAGTGCGACAATGCTCCATGATGCTGGGCGCAATAAGGCGCCGGCCGACACAATACCTAACGTCCGGCTTGCGCACGAAACTAATTGTGTCTCCAATCTCGAAACAATCTTGCCTGTCCACCATGATGTCGAACTTGCCCGCACTGAGGGCCGTCTTTGACAGCGCACGGGTCTCACCGCGCTAGATGTATCAGCCCTCCCGCAGAAGTAATACGCCAACAAGCCAGCAAGGGGCGATCATGAGCAGAAGCAGAAACACGCTGCTGGCGGAGGAGGGCCGGAATAGATCTAGCACGCAATGCTGATTCGAGCGTGGACTACGAACTACACTGGTTAAGCGCAAAACCATCTCAGCCGATTTAGAAAGAATTTGCGCTGCAACTTGTTGGGGGCGCTTCGCAAACTCGGACAGCCAAGATCGCGAGCGGCTCCAAAACCCAGCCCAGCCAAAATCTGGAGTAGCAAAATCCTGCAGTGTTCGTCGCTCTGGCTGAACCCGTTTGCGCTGAACCCTGCTACCTCCGGACTGACTGATGCTGCAAGACAACCTCCAGTCCCCTGTCCCCTCCTCACAGGTCCTGTTTAACTATTGCGATCCCCTGGCGAAATGATGAAAATCCCATGGGACCCAGCGGGGCTGGTTTAATGATCATCATGGCTACACGTTGGGGCCCTGCGCAAGAATGCTACAAGGGTCACAACCCCAGGACCCTGCCACAAAAATTGGCCCTGCAAAGACTGGATTTGTGAAAGCGAAAACTATAAAGCTTGACCACGCGATTCTATTATCATAGTAAAATGTGACCACACAGTCAAGCCCAATGAATAATACCAGCGCAGGGGGGCACACTCCCGGCTCATTCGCGCAACGAGAACGATATGCAATCTATGAGGTGCCGGATACACTCGCGCAGCGGGGAGCAATGTTTGGGGTGAACGCGACAGGGTGCAACGTAGAAACGAAATGGACGGTGTATGTTTGGGGGGCTGGAACCTGTGGGACGTAACCTATGAGAGCGCATATTCATATGTAGATACAAACAGCTAACATATGTGTCAGCCAGCGCGCACCTCAAACAGTGTGTTTATCTGATATAGTGTGTGCAAAGTATGTGGAGCGGTGTAGGTTGTGGGATATACGCGATGCAATCTAAATTGCGGGATTTATGTTGTGCGGAACCTGATGTGCAACATATATATATAAACATACATACGTACATACGTACATACATACATGCATACATGCATACATACAAACAGACATACATATGGAGCCCGCTCCAAATACCACGCGTGCCAGACTTGACCTGAGGACAAAGCACGCGACGAGAGACGATCGACGCACGGCTCTTCAACATCAGTATGTGTGAAGGCCGCGACCTAACCAGGCACAAGCGATCTTTGTTCTGGAAAGAGACAACTGAGCTCGAGCAGCACAAACGTGTCCGCAGGACGTGCAGCAGCGACGGCCCACACTGATGAGCTCCCAGATGATGCAAATGCGGGTTGGCGTACGCGGATGGGTGCACTTGAGCCCACATGCAAACGACATTGGGAAGATGCGGCACGCTCACCCTGGGGTTCTGCTTATCGTCGCTAAAACACCACAGCCCGACCCAAATACCTCCGCATACCAGAACTGCCCTGATGACAGAGCAAGCGACGAGGAACGATCGGCGCACGGCTCATTTCAACATCCACGCGTGCGAAAACCGAGACAGGCACCAGCGATCTTCGCTTCGGAAAGAGAGAACTGGATTCAAGAAGCAGGCGTGTCCGCGTGACGCGCAGCAGCGACGGCCCACATAGACGAGGCCCCAAACCCCATACGGAAGAGGAGGCCAGACAAGCTCGTCAAAAAGGATGGCGCCGGGAACGTTTTGAAGGCAGTTCCAAAAGCTCGAAATAGCGACTGACGATGGCGAAATTCACTTCTACGGGCAGGGGGCGAGCAGCACGGATCACGCCTCCTGGGGCGAGCGAACGCGGGCCCGGCGCCCGCCCTACCTCGTCGCGCCACCGCCCCGAGCCGCGACCAATCGCGGCGCGCACAGCGGACGAAGCTCGGCGCCTCATCGCACAGAGGCCGATCGGCGCAGCACCGCTGACCGCGAGCGCGCTGCGCCAAGCCGACGACAAGTCAAAAGCTACGACGGGAAGCAAGTCTCTGATGACGACCAGCCCCTCGCCGACTGAGTTCCCAATCCGCGCCGGCTTCTCGCGACGAAGCTGCGCGAACTATTGGGCGCCGCGAGCACCGTGCGGCGCAGCGTCGATGTCCATGGAAGCGCCCAAGCACCGCTCTCACCACGTGCCCCGAGCACCATCCGCGTCTGCGAAGCCCCGAGGTGGCGCCGCGGAGCCGTCATGCGCCGTGCGACTTGACGCGGTGGAACCCCCCGAATTCAGCGACGGGCCGAGAAACTCTGCGTTCATTGCGGCGCCAAGGAGCACATGGCGCGGTCCGCTGCAGCCCCGTCGGCATCGAAGGTCAAGATGTCGCTGACATAAGCTGCGACGCCGATGGACGCGCCGTCCGCGACGACCACGAGCCGCCTGCCCGCCCAGGGCCGCCACGGCCATCCCACGGCAGTCAGATGCGAGAACGGCGCGAGCTGCCGACTGGCAAAGACGGAGCGCCCAGGACAAACCCCTCGGGAGGACGACGACCTGCTGGGCCACCATGATCGAGGGATCTAATTCGAGGTCGAGCGAGTAGGCCCGCCTCCTGGAGCGCACCAGCCAGGATCGAAGGCAGCCCGGACATCGCCTGCAGCCCCTCGGGGAGCCGCACGCAGTAGAACGCGCACTCCAAATCGCGCGACGAAAGGCGCGCGCCCGCAGCTGGCGCCTCCAGCGCCCCAAAGGAAGACGCCGAAGGCAGTCGCGCCGCTGGCGAATCAAGAAAAGCATAGTTGGCGGCCAGGTGTCAAATATGATTGTCAGAGCCCCCGACTTTTTCGGGGCGAAGAACGGGCCAACTGCGCGGGGCTCACTGGAGTCAGCCGAAACAGAGATCATCCGTCCGCAATGCATCCGCATGGAAAACTGACCGCGCGAATGCCATGTCCTGAGTCGATGCCGGATCGCAACAGGGCCCCTTCGGGCAGTAGGACTTCGCCAAAACAGCTGCAGACTGCCAGTATCGTAGCAAATGGCTCCGCCATCCCTCCAGCCATGCCTTGTCCTCCGGCTGCGCCAATTGGCGCAGCCGCAGGACAAGGTTTACTGGTTCTCCACCTTCTGAAAGCCAAGCGACTGGGTCACGGACGTAGGGGGCGGCGCGGCGGCGCCACGCCCGCACAGGTTGGCGCGGGAGAAGGCCCCCGCAGGGCCCCGTTCCGGGCAAGCCTCGAGTCGCCGTTCCCCAGCGGGGAGCCCCAGCTCTTCGATGCCGTCAGCAATGCGCGCGATGGCCCGGCGCTGTCCAGCGCGCGCAGGCGGCGCGAGCGAGGACGCACAGCCATAGAATAAATTGAACGCGTCGGCGGGAGCTCGGACGCGGTTGCCCAGGCGCGCGCGGAAGCCGCGGCGGCGAGCAGAGCGACGGCCAGCCGACCCCGCCTCTCGCGAAGGCTCAGCTGGCATGACTGGCAGCGGGAAGACGTCGCGCCGGCGGGGGCAGCGCGGCTGCCCGGGGCCGGCGGCGGCAGAGGCCAGGAGGTTCCAGGGAGAGGCTAGCCCGTCTGCCCCTCCTTGGCTCTTCTAAGACATTGGCGCCTGGGGCCCCGGGACCGCCCCTGCCGCCTCGGCCTCGTCCGCGGCCGCGCCCGCGGCCGCCGCGACCTCCATCGCTGCCAGCAGCGCCTGCGCCCGCAACAGCAGCCGGAGCGCGCTCCTCGCGCGCCTTGCGCCGCTCCTTGGCGACGGCCCCCATCGCGGGACTCCTGCGCCGCGAGCCAATCGCGCAGCGCCAGCACCGCGCAAGCGCGCTGCCGACGGTGTCCTAGGCGCCCGACATGAGCGCGGCGCTGGTGGTGCACTCCGTCGCGGCCGCGAATCCGTCGCGGCGCGGCACCTGCTGAGTCTGCAGGGCCCTGCCCACCAACTCCAAGGCTGCCAGATTGGCCGCGTGCAACTGATCGCACGGGATACCAGATTTCAGCAACTAGCAGCACAGCACATGGACGTTGACGCCAGGGCCCCTGGGCTCCAGAAGAGCCTCTGCCATCCACTTCGCGCGCCTACCGAGAGGGGCCCCTCCATTGCGGCACGTGAGATTCAGCGCCCATACCAAAGTTCGAGGCCATTGCAGTGGCCAGTCCGCCCACGGAAGCTCATGGGGCCGAACCACCCCAGCTCGAAAGTCAATGCACCGAACGCCCTGCAGGTCCAGCACGATGTTCTTAACCCGCGCGTCGCCGCCTAGCGCGCCAGCTATCGTGGCGAGAGCGCCCGCCAACCAGACGCCGCCTACGGCGGCGACGCCGCCTCCCGCCGCAGGGAAGGCGGCTGGAGCAGCAACGCCCAGGGCGGGCGCGGCGGCCGGCGCCGCCTGCGCGGCAGCCGGGCCCGCGGCAGGCGCCGCCAGCAGCGGGGCGCCATGGAGCGGGAGCCCCCGCCGGCACGATCGAGAGCACCTGCCGCGGCTCCAGGGGCGGGCGCGGCGCCGCCGAGAACGGCCGCGAGCCCGCCAAAACTGGCGGCGGCGGGGGCAGCGACGGCGGGCGCGTCGGCGGCTGGCGCGGGCGCCGCCCCGCCTGGGCCAACAATCGCGCGCCCCAGAGTGTTGACCGCGACGGGCGAACCAGCAGCGAGGCCAAGTGGCCCTCGTCGACGTCGAGGAGGCAACGCTCTCGCGCGGCAGTGGCAGCGCCCGGAACTTGTAGAGCTGGTCCGCGCCCGTCGCCGCCGCTGGGCCCCCGGCGGCTCCGCCCGCGGGCACGGCCCGCGACGTCGAGGAACCCGAGGCGCCTGGGGCCTGAGGAGCCTGAGGAGCCGGAGCAGCCCGCTGTGCCCGAGCCGCCAGCGGCCGTAGTCACAGGGGCGGAGCGAGGAGCCTCGCGGGCGGGCGGTGGGTTCACGCACGGACGCGTATCGGCGATGACCCAGTCGCCGACCTGCGCCACTGACAGGGGCGGACGCCACGCACCGCCCCGACTGGCGGGCAGGGGGCGGGCCGGGGCGCCGAAGGGGGGCGGCGGGCCGGGGCGCCGAAGGGGGGCGGCGGGCCGGGCGCGGGGGGAGACGTCGGGAGGGCGTCGGGGTTGGAGCCACGAGGGACGTCGTCACGAAGGGCGTCGGGCGGGGCGCCGTCGGGAGAGTCGTCGGGAGGAGCGCAGGGCTAAACGGCGACGGCGGCGTCGGGCGGAGCGTTGGGTCCAGGCGAGTTGGCGTCGGCGTCGCTGTCGTCAGAATGATCTGCTCGGCTGAATCCGTCTGGCCGCTCGCGGTTGCAATGCTGGCGTTCTTCTGACTCGCGCTGCTGGAGCCCGGCGCGATGCGCAAGGTCGAACTGCTGAAGTTCGCTCCGCCGTTCGCACCGTTGATGCTGGAATACGTCTTGCTACCCGCGGTCGTGCAGCAGGAGTCCGCCCTCCTGCTCCCGACGGCGCCACTGGCGTCTGTCCTGCCGCTCGCGGCACCGCGCCTGGGCTCCGCCGTCTGGCTGTGCCGAGGAGAGATATCTTCAGGACGAGCAGCGGTCGAAGGGTCGACCCCTTCCTGGTCGCCCCAAGAATCCAGCCGCGGCGACGAGGGCTCTCCAGGACGCACGATGGTGCCAGGACGCCTGCTTCCTCCGCTCCGCCGGGATCCTCCCCCTCCTCCCAACGAATCCCCGTGGCCCACAAGCCTGCCCAGGTGCCCACTGTCCTCCTCCCCACACGGACTAGGTACGCCGCTGAGTGTGGCAACGTCTTGCGCGAGGGTTTCGCCGGTGCCTCGGGAACCTCTGCGCCCCCCGGACACGGGCCGCTGCGGTCCGGGGGAATCGTGCGAACCAGGTGGAGGAAGGCCGTCGTCAACGTCGTAGTCGTCGTGGCACAAGGCCGTCACGAGGCCGTCTCCTGCTGGGGCACCGTCGCCGCCCCTCGGCGGACGGGGGCCAACAGAGCCGCTGTCGGGGGAAACGGCAGATGGGAGCGAAGGGGCCTTGGCTGATCAGGCGACTGAGTGCGGTTTTGTCAGCCTTTCTGGCCGCCTCCTCTCAGGGCGGCGGTGCCGCGCCGACCCGCGGGCCCAGCACCTCAGCTACCGGGCGCAACTGGAGCCCGAGACCCGCCAGGTAGTGGCGGCCGCGCGAGCCATAGGGGTGCCTTGCCAGGGGCGCCTCTGGGCAGGCGGCAGCATAAGGGAGAATTACGTGGACCTGGCCGTCCGTGTCCCGCACCCGAACCCAGGAGCGGCGTCAGCGGTCGAGCCGAGGGGATCGGTCGTTCCCGCAGCAGTGTCCCACTGTCTGTTGCCGCCCGCCGCTTGGGCGTCTAGCTGCTGCTGCACACTGCCTTCCCCTTGCGGCTGCCATTATAGGGGCCGCTTGGGTCGCCATCTCCCACCAATACACCAATACATTACGGCGTTAGTTGCCACTGAAGGGGGCCGAGGCCCTCCCTGCAGCCCCTGGGCCAACGAAGTCATCTGTAGGGAAGGGTGCGAACGTACCTCCCCAGACATGCGACGTCCTGATTTTTTCAGGACGGCGTCCCTGGAAGTCCCGACCCTGTCCCCGGGACCGGTTTTTCGTCCTGAATCGTTTTTTGACGGTCCCGAGGCCTGGGGAGGGCCCCCCGGGGCCGAAAATACCCAAAAACCTCCCGCCCTGATTCTTGTTGCGACGCGATCACGTCTGGGTCCACAGCTGAGACCTCAACACCTCGAGGCGCCAACTGCCACCATCCAGCGCCTCCCTCCTCCTCCCCACTCCGTCTCGGCTGCGCGCCAAGGGGGGGGCGCTGGGAGGGCGGCCTTCCACGAAGCCAGGACTGGAGGCCTAGACAGGGGCACCAACACCAACACAGGGGACTGCCTCCACATGGGGGCGATGATCCTAGATTTAGGTCGGGCCTGTCCCCCTACAGGGGGATTTTGGGCGAAAAATCAAAAATACTCCAAAAACACGCCAAACATTATCAAAAATGGTACAAAAATAGTCCCCTGACTATTTCCCCAATCGGAGCTTGCCTCTGTAGGGGTCCTAGCGGATGCATATGGTTAGGTTAGGCTTGCCGCCGATTTTCGCAGCACGCCTGGGTGCCCGGGCGTGCCCAGGAGTGCCTGGGGGTGCCCGGGGGTGCCCTATAGCCCTATAGCCCAATAGCCCAATAGCCCAATAGCCCTATAGCCCTACAACTCTATAGCCCTATAGCTCTATAGCCCTATAGCTCAATAGCCCTATAGCCCTATAGCCCCCTAGCCCTATAGTCCTGATGGGTTTTTTTCTCCGGCGGTATCTTTTTTATTATGAATAATCACCTGTAGAGGGACAGGCCCGACTTAATCCTAGATTTCGGTGTTGGTGGCAATACTTCGGTCACCTTGG